ATCCACAACTTGCTCTTTGTCCTGCTCACAGTCGCAACAATCCCCCAGATTCCTCTCCAGGGTTACTACATCTTCTTTGGTGTAGCTTCCTCCCTGTTCACTGCAGCCTCCATCTATGGCACCTTCTCACGTCTCATCAACACCATTGCAGAAAAGTCCCTCATCCCTGTCGGAGGACAGCCCATCTCCACCGAGCGTTTGAAGAAGGCTTTGAAGTGCAGAAGGTCTGAACAGGAAGACCAGGAGGTGGTTCCCCAAACTGACCAAGCCTCAGATGCTCTGTTCTACCTTTCAAATGGGGTGGCATCTCTGTCAGCTCTTCATTCAAGTGTGTCCAGTACAAATCCTACCCTCCTTCATCTGAGTGTCCCTTGGGTCCTCATCTCTGGAGCAATCATCCAGGCCTATGTCAGCAGGCTGCAAGTCACCGGAGGTGGCCGGTTAGGGTCGGTCATCTCGTCCATCTATGCAGGAGTTTGGGCAGTTTGGACCTGGTTTAGATTTGCAGGTACGTCAGTATAAAAATGAGTGACATGACATATATCTCTCTGATTCACACAAGATTTTGATTGCAAGATTTTCTTTTCCAGGTAACCTGCTGCAGCTCTCCACAGAGGCAACTTATGGTTTTACAGCAGGAGCCATTGCTCTCCTGGTCATTAATGCGTCCCTCATGTTGATTGGTAAGGTTAAGCACATTGTTGGTTTAATAGAACAATTTAATAAGCTGTTGTTTTTGTACTGATTTCGATTCTTCTGTTGTTTGTGTCAGCTGCCTACAGGAATCTGGTCTTGCTGTTTCTAACAACAGTCATGGAGGTTGTTCTGGTCTGCTTCCTGCTCTCCACCCTGCAGCGACTGCCGTATGAACTAGAAAGTAAGTATAGACAAAACCTCATTTTACATTCTAGGGAAAGTCTTTCATAAAAACATATTAAAATATATAAATTGTTCAATGTTTGCCGTCCTTATAAATAGTAAAATGTCCACCTAATTGATTAACACCATTGTTCCACAGTGGCCATGCTCGCAGTGGTTTCATTAATTTGTATTTATGGAGCTCTGGCATCACTGCTCAGCTGCATCTTCTCACAGAGGTTGCTACCTATGGGCCCTCCCCTAATAAAGGTAAACTTTGACAAAA